TCTTCTTAACCACATATTAAAAAACCACCTCCTTTCGAAAGTTGGATTTACGTCATTTCAATTGGAAATACCATTGTTGGTTCTCATGCTGAGGTTGTTACCATGGTAAAGGTCTCATTTTAACCTTTATTAAATCTCGTCGCTTTTTGCTATTTCCGTGATAAGAATTTTTAATGTTTATATTTTATCTTAGCCTAGCATATTCTATCTTGGGTTACCCTGCCGTACCCTGCTTTACGCTACCCTACTATACCCTACCCAACCCAACCATATTCTACCCTACCCTACCCTACCCTATCCTACCCTACCCTACCCTACCCTACCCTACCCTACCCTACCCTACCCTACCCTACCCTACCCTACCCTACCCTACCCTACCCTACCCTACCCTACCCTACTCTACCCTACCCTACTCTACCCTACCCTACCCTACCCTACCCTACTCTACCCTACCCTACCTTACCAAAATTATTGAAAAGACGGTTATATTCGTTTCTTATGCGTATCATTCCGTAACCCATTCGTATATCTATTATGATATAATTTATTCTCTAGCTTACACATCGTAAAGATGTGTTTGTCTTTCTGACTTATAGGTAGTGTATCTGTATATCTTGTAGTACATTTGAGCTTTAGTTGAGTGCTTTTTAGCAAGTTTTAGTTTTAAATTTGAAAAATGAATATTTGGTTTATGTAAAGAAAGTTCATGCTATTTTTTGATTTGTAAAGACAGTTCTTGCCATTTCTTGTTTTGTAAAGAAAGTTCTTGCTTTTTATGTTTTGTAAAGAAAGTTATTGCCATTTTATGCTTTGTAAAGAAAGTTATTGCCATTTTTGTAAAGAAAGTTCTTGCCATTTCTTGTTCTGTAAAGAAACAAGGTATTTTTGGACGCAGACTGCGGATGACAAGTTATACGATAAAAAGAATGTTTTTGTGTCAACGAAAGTTTTTGTCGTTTAGTAGTGTGAATTTCCGTTTTTCGTATTGACTTATTACCTAAATTATTAAAAAACTTTAAAAATTTAACTTTCAATGACCAAAAAATTTAATCTTAATAACATATTCACCATGACGAATATGTCTCCTAAAGACACTAATCAACCGCCTTTTTCCGTTTATTTTCTTCTAAATTTGGTAGAACAGTCTGTGCGGTTTTAAATACTTAATTAAAATGAATTTGCTCTAATTAGCTTAACATCGCAAATTAAGGCTGCAAAGTTCGAAATTTAAAATTTTTTAAAAATTTTCAAAAAAATTAATTTTTGAAAAATTGCCATTTTTTGAAATTTAAAATTGCTTCAAATTTTAATTGCCCAGAGAATAATAAATCATCTTTCAACTTTCGATTCGACATCTTTTATGTATAACAATAACACTTTCAATTAGCTGTCAGATTACTGCGATTATCTCTTTTTGAATCTTTGAGCTGGCCGAGGGATGAATTCAAAGGTTTGGAAACTTTAAAACTCAATTTTAAAAGCCTACCCTACCCTACCCTACTTTACCCTACCCTACCCTACCCTACCCTACCCTACCCTACCCTACCCTACCCTACCCTACCCTATCCTACCCTACCCTACCCTACCCTAACCTACCCTTCCGTTCCCTACCCTACCCTACTCAAAAAAATGTCATTTTTGTCAATTTTACTAAACGATTAAAAAATTCTGTGTCAAATTTACTATGCATTACACCTCAAAAGCGACAAGACTTTTTTAAATTAAATAAAGTATGGTAAACAGTAAAGGATAGGGCACACTTGATAGGGCTAGGGCATGGAATGGAAATATAAGGCACAAGAGGGTTGATTGACATAAAATGAGAAAAAGTATGGTAGGTTAACATAGGGTAGGCTAAATAAACATAAGTGAAGGGAGAGTAAGTAGGGTAGGGTAGGGTAGGGTAGGGTAGGGTAGGGTAGGGTAGGGTAGGGTAGGGTAGGGTAGGGTAGGGTAGGGTAGGGTAGGGTAGAACTTTTAAAACAATGTCAGTTCTGTCTTTCTTCCTCATAGGCTTCTCAAAAAAAGTTCTTGTTTTGAACTTTACAACAATATGTCTTCTTTCGATTGAACTTTTGTTTTTATCATTCCCTTTTTTCTTTTTTTGACTATTACTTAAACTTATTATACTTTAGGTCTTAACAACGCAATTAGTTAAGTATCTACGTGCTTTATTACACGTGTTGGATTAAAATATCCTGCCAGTTTTTGGATTTAAGAAAAATTTTAAAAAGCTTTCACTGGTTTTTGTTTTGTAAAGAAAGTTCTTGCCATTTTAAGATTTGTAAAGAAAGTTCTTGCCATTAAATGTTTTGTAAAGAAAGTTATTGCCATTTTTTGTTTTGAAAACAAAGTTCTTGCCCTTTTTTGTTTTGTAAAGAAAGTTCTTGCCATTTTAAGATTTGTAAAGAAAGTTCTTGTCATTTTTTGTGTATTTTTACATTCCTCATTTGTAAAACCGTATTTTACACATTTTTCTTTAAAGTTTCATTCTTTTCTTCAAAAGACCCAACTCAAAAGAGTACCCTTAACCGTCACGAATCGAGTTCATTGTTACCCAATTAGCCGTTTCTTTTAAATTAGCGTTTTGTGGTAATCCTTTTTGTGTGTTTTATCGGCTTATTAGTATTCCGAAGCTCTTCCACACAACCCTCGCTCGCTCTACGATAATATTCCTTCCCTCTGCTATAACATTCCCCTCCCTCTACTATAACATTTTTCCTCCTCTTTCGATTCGCAATGGGTAGGGTAGAATTTTCCCCACAAAGAGCAAAGAAGTAAAAGGGGAAAAAGACCGGTGCCATTCCGCGTTTTTGTTTTGTCGTCCCCTCCATCCGTGGTCTCCGTATTCAAATATTTTGGTTGTGTTTGATTTCGACGAGCCCTCAGGCTAAAATTTTCGGAATAAGACCACTAATGGCAAGGGAGGGGGAGAATAAGACCTCTAATGGCAAGAGAGGGGGAGGATAAGACCTCTAATGGCAAGGGAGTGTAGGGTAGTCTTTGGTAGAGTGGGGGTAGATTAAAGAAGGTTGAAAATCAGAAACAAAAAATTAGGTTGTAAATTATGAACAAGCGTACCAAAATACGTATATCGACAAAGTTTTTTCTTATTTGAGCCACTAGTTTTTTAAATATACAAAAATTACTGTAACAACGTAAAATATAAAATGTTAAAACTTTTGGGTTTCATTATAAAATTTTATGAAATTTTGGCAGTGTTCACATAATAAAGCTGGCTTTTAAGCAATTTAATCAATTTTTTCTATTTTATTATCTAAAAATGGCATTTGGATATAAATGTTATCCATCTATTAAGCCAAAATCATTATAACTTGCGATTCCTTGATTTTAGTCAAAAACTTTTAATGCAGCATTTCTAAAAATTTTATATTTGATCAAAAAATGCTTTTATAACTAAGTTCAAACCCTATCTTTACAGTTTTTCGACTGATTAAGCAAAAGCGCACGACCTGACTCGAACTGATAAGACGCGTCAACTTTCGCTTTTTGCCTGTGAAAATCCAATTTTCGAACGAAAAAACAAGAATATTCAGTGCTTCCAAGCCAGCCGAAACGTCAATATTCGAAGCCCGGAAGGGCGTTCCGAGTACAGATTTTTAATTTGCTCGTGAAAAAAGTCAAATTTTTGAAAATTTCCCAAATTTTGTTCGTTTTCCTCGCAAATTCGAGCCAATTTCTCGCACAAAAACGTTTTTCCAACGTTCGCACTCAAATTATATTATTCTCCGCGAAAGTTTCGAGTGGGAGAGCTGTGTTATGCACTACGAAGAAGGTAGTTAACCCAACTTTTAATGTGTCCTCCGTTTTCGAAGCAAAATCCACGGGAAAACGGCAATTTTGAGGTATGGGATGGGTAATGCACTGTTTTCGTGGGTGTTTATGAGAAATGGACTAATTTTAATAAGTTAGCAGTATATATGGGCAATGAAATTGATGTTTTTAGAGAGAGAATTTTGTGGGGAATATTTTAAACATAAATTTGGTAATAGTTAACTTTGAATTAAAACTGAAATTGTGCTTGGAAGCGGACTTGCCTAGTATAATATCGTGTTGAAGCAAAATTTAGCTGTAAAACTAATTTTTTGGAATTTCTAATACTTTTCAACATTTTATAGGTAATTTTATATTTTTAAGTTGGATTTTTATTAAAAAACGGCTAAAATTAGTTCAAAAATTTAAAGTTTTCTGCGCCTATCAAGTATGATATAGTTTTTGGTCTTAAATTCAAAATATATATTTAATATGGATTTTTCTATGTTAAACCACATGATATGATCATTTTTGCAATTTTTAATGATCCAGTGATAAATTTATATCAATTTTGCAGTGTTAAACGTCTTGCAGAGCAGATAGTCATGAATAATGGAAATAGATGTCTATGTGTTTAAATTCTCGCAGATTTAATAAAACTTGCTTGTAAATGAACATTTAAGATTTTAGCTTTAATTAAAATCTTGTTTAATTTTTACATGAATTATGCTGAGACTGAGCTTTATATTAACCATGGCCTGGTTTTATAGGTTAATGTTTAGATCGTTATTGGCTTCGGCTTTTAGAACGAACTTCTTGAATTTTGATCATAAAAGATACAGAAGGGTCTTATCATTCTTTTAAGCGTAGCCTTGAGTATGGTCTGTGGCTGGATCATATTGAAAATGAGCCTTATGTTAACCATGGTGTTGTTTGTTAGGCGAATGTTTACATTTCGTACCTCTTTTAAAGCTTATTTCCTCTTTGATAATTATGTTGTTATCAAAACATAATAGTTATAAAAATTGATGATTGTTTTTCAAGATCATGACATTTATCATCTTTTCCACGGTCTCTCCGCTATCAGCTGTTGGAGGAAGACAGCCGGGGCGGGAAAGGGGCGAATGTAAGGTCAGATCGAGCGCGACGACCCAATTTTTTCGTTTTTTTATGTTGTGAATGCATAGATCCAACAATATATCCAAATTCCATGTATGTGTTTTCAGATGGACGGACCGGCGGACATCAACACTAATCGAATAATTATACCAGAACAAGTGCGCGAGGAAAGCTACGGCGAATTCATCTTGCTTGGGTAGGCTTTTGAGTGTTGTTTTTGTGTTTAGATGAATGTTAATGGCTGGGAAAAACAATTTTAATCAAATACGAGGGAGATACGGAAGCGTTTGTTAGCTTTTTATTAGGCTGGATACGGTTTTCTCTGGATAATATAGCTAATTTTCGGAAATTAGTTTGGCTTATGGTTATGGTTAATATAAAATTTATCATATCGCTAAAATTACTGATTGGATCTGTTTGCAAATAAAAAATATTGTTAGTTAAGATATTGTATGTCGTTTTACTATAGGAAATGGTATTTTAGGTATTAATTTTTGATTTGTAGACCTTTTTATCAGATGGCCATGGATAATATTCCATATAAGATAGTAATTCAGGTCATTTTTTTATAAGATAGTAACTCAGGGCATACGAAACTTGTTAGAAAGGTTTTTAAGGCTGTTATCTTGCTTATTAGTTACTTTGGAGTAGGTAACACGATCAACTTTTAGTTTTAATTGGCAATCTTTACCTAATGGTCATGGATAATATCTTTTTCTTTTTATCTTGACGTATTAATTGTTATAGCTTTGAATTATGGAAACTTCAGTTACAAAATGATGTAGTTTATACACTCAATGTGGTTTTAAGTGGGATTTGTCAACGTGAATTACGTATTCTATAGTTTATGGATAAGTAGTAACTGTTTTTGTGGCTTTAAGCTCATAAAAGCCAAAAACAAGTGGGATAATGGATGTTAAGAGCCAAATCACGTGTTGTTTAAGCAGCTCAGCACTTGTATTTTTTGTTATCCATGAATAGTCTAATGAAAAACATTGTTGTTCTATGAAATTCGGGTTTGTAGGCACTTAAGATCTAAAACAATATACTGATTCAATGGTTTTTGAAATTTTAAGGTTTCAATGACATTTTTAAGTCCAACTACTATTCGTAATAACAGATTTGATGTTTAAAATACGTCAGATTAGTTGTTTAGGTTATAAAAATACCTAAAAGCTTAAAAAGGTGCATGAAGGACAATATTTTTGAAAAAGTGCATAAACAACTTTGTTTTTGTTGACAATTACTTGTTGTTGAACAAGCCTTACCTACGTGTGTATGCAAAATTGGATGTTATGCTGATTACGCAATAATGTTGGTGTCAGAAGGAGTAGATAAGGAAATGTTTTGTGACAGCTACCTACCATAAACATCTCATGATTCTAAATAACAAGTCACGTTCCGGCGTTCCCACAGTGTTCGCTGATAACAACTTTAACAGTGATAAGGAATATCAGTGGTTTTTAGGTATTAGGGGGAGAATTTTGGTGATAAGGGGATCTAGATAAGGTTTTTTGGGGAAAAATGCCATTCCTTTTTGAAATTCAAGTCTCAATTTTATTTTTTATAGCTCATAAATTGATGAACGTTGTTTTAGTTACAACGGACCACCAGATAGTGCAAATAAGAGCCGCTCCAATGGTCGTCAACACCGGTCCAAGTTGTCCTTCAGGGTGCGGGATCAGCCAAATGGAATCAAGAAATCAGGCGTATCCGAAACCAAACAGAATCCTCTACACAATGATGTAGGTGTTTTCATTATGAAAAACCATATTCACTAACCTTTTGAGCTTACAAAGCTTGCAATTGGCCTTGAAGACATTGTAGTAGAGCAAAGAGGTATCGCGATAATTTTAGTTGATAATATCTAATGATTTCAGGCCGTAAAAGACTCATCAAAGCACGTAGTATCATATTTGTACTATAAAGGCCATGCAGTACTTGTTGAGTACGAAATTGATCAACAAAAGGACATGTTTCAGGTAATTTTTCACTTTCTTCTTGGATTTTTAGTGTCTAAAACATGATTTTTGATGTATACCGCAAAAACCTTTGGATTTGCGAGCATGAGATCTGATTTTATACAATACCTGATGTAATGCAAACAAAATAAAATCAATTTTCTATAGATTGGCCGCTCCTCCGAACCCCAAATCGACTTCACAATCGTCGACACCTGGATTGGGGCCTCGAATCCGGGCGGCGTTCTGAATCCCATCGGACAGCACAGAAACCAGAAGGCCAAAGCAATCACAGCCAAAGGCGATAAACAGGTATCCTCGACGATTTCAAGATACGCATGCCGAATTCTGGCCGATCGGGACGAACCAAACAAGTGCTACGTCTATGCGGCCGGGTTCGATACCTCAAGGAACATATTTCTGGGTGTAAGTTGGATTTTTTTATTTTTTTTTTGCTTGAAATTTGGGTAAATTTGAAGAACTTTTGACTTTAAAGGAAGGTGAAGATAGTAAGAAACGTCATGATAAGCGTTTTGGATACTAGTTTAGTGAAAGAATTGAAAAATGAATGAAAAACGGCTTTCACTGTAGTTGATGTCAAGTATAATATCGAAAAACTCGAAAAGAAGTGTAATCCCTTTTCGCAACTTCAATAATTTTGTTATTACAGGAAAAAGCAACAAAATGGCAAAAGAAAAACGGTGAATTTGACGGCCTAACCACCAACGGTGTCCTCATTCTTCACCCCAATCGCAATATAGATACGGAAAACCAAAAAGAGATGTACACATGGCGAGAAGTCTCGGTAGATGGAGAAATCTACACCCTCAGAGAGACCAGGTCCTCGACCAAACGTGGAGACCTCGTAATGGAGGAATCCAACCAACTACAAGATGGTACACTCATCGATTTGTGCGGCGCCACCTTATTATGGCGATCAGCCGAAGGTCTAAAACAAAGTCCGTCCACAGCTGAGTTGGAACGACGTCTGGACGAGTTGAATGCTGGTGAGGAGTTAGATTAAATGTTTTTCTTAGGTTTAGGAGGAAGCATTCGATGTCAAATGGGAAAATTTTTGAGAAATCTACAAAAATATAATGGATAAGAGAATAGAGAAAGACTTGACTCAAAAAATCTTATGTTTTGGGTCTAGTTTTTCTCTCATGTGAGAGCTTTGTAAAATAATGTTTTTAGTAGGAAAAAGAGGGAGAATTTGAGGAAAATTGTTATTATGATGTTAATACGACGAGGTTGTGTATAAATAATAATTTAATTATTTAGCCTTTTTAGAGTTATTGACCGAAAATTATGTGTTAAACTGTCTGAAGTTAATTTATCTTTCTTTTAGGCAAGCCACAATGTCCAGTGAACCTAAACACATTAATTATACCACGAAAACGTACCACGAAGAGCAGTACGAACTCAAAACAACCTTATGTTTATTTGCGATGCGGCCATGTTCAAGGTAAACACAACTGGGGTGTTACCCAAAATGGAGCCTCGGAATGTGCATTCAAATGCCCGATTTGTTTGTTGGAAAGCGATGCAATTCTTCAACTAACGATGGGCATGGAATCCGCTTTCCATTTGGATTCGGATTCATTAGATTACGCTTTCAATCCGTGCGGACATGTGGCTAGCAAAGCAACAGTAAAGTAAGTGGTTCCTTTTTGATGTTATTGGTTTAGGAGAAGAAGAAGGTGGTGGTAATGTATTGAGGAATGATGTAAAAGGTTTAATGAAACTAGTAAAATGAATATTAGAAGTGGAGAGAGTAAGATTATGTTGATATTTCTTGATTTCTGATATTATCTATGAAAGTCTTGATAAGACTTCATGGTTTTGGACGTATTATAGCTTTGAGTAGTTGGTTTAGGTTGAAACTTTGTAAAAAGATGATGAAGATATTGATTTTGAGTATGAATAATAATGATTAAGAACAGAAAGATCTTTGTTTTTTGAGCTGTGATGTTATTTATGATGGCATTAGGGAGCAAGTCGAATTTAATCACAATTTTGCTTTTTTAAAATTTAAACAACCTTGTACTTTAAATGAAGCTTTAATAGACTTTTTTATATAACTTGTACAACTTTGGGGTAATAGTAATGTTACCTATGACGTCAGCTATGACTAACTTTATATAATGCCTATTTTCAGCTACTGGTCCCGGATTCCACTACCTCATGGCACGAATAGCTTCTACCCGGTGTGTCCGTTCTGTACAACGCTATTGGATTTGAAAAAGCCATCAGTCCGGTTAATCTTTCAAGATCATTGTTATGACACGTAACGTTCTGGTCAAGCAACTTTCATACTTGTATATTATGCATGTTTATTCAATGTAATAAGTCTTTTAAGTTATTGAAATCTAAAGTTTTTTGAATATAATTAGTGAATCTTGGAAGTTACAGTGTATGGGATATACTGTAATATTGGTTTTTTGATTTTACTGGTCATGTGGTATGCTGTAACATAATGTTTTTTTTCGACATTACAGTAGATGGCATGCGCAGTAAGGTCAATTTTAATGTATTTTGTATCATTTTTCATTACTTTGTTTTATTCATTACCATCTTGTTACAATAACTTACCATATTTTGTAAACCTACTATATTATCCATGTTGTTTCACAATGTAAAACATGTTATCATCGTGTATCTTGTCTCTCATGTTATAGTCTTTTCATTCAATGTCATTATCCAACGAACAGAAGTGATCTCCACGCGCTGTGATTAACAAAACGATGGGTTTTTGTACCCAAAATCACAGTATCTGAAATCCCCCACACAACTTGATATGGGTTACTGTATTTTTATGTCTTTGGCATATCCGTTGTAACTTTCGATTGTATTTTTTTTGTTTTTCAACTTTTTAAAGTGACTTCTGCTACCTTGTAAAGTGTTACAGGGGATCCATTAGTTTTTTCGTTTTTTGATGGTTTATATTGGTTTTAATATGTCATTATGACTCATTTATGGCACATTTTTGCTTTTTGACAAGGAAATTGAAAAAGTTTTTTAATTTTTGGACTAGAAGTTGAAATTTAAAAAAAATTTCGAAATTTGAAATTAAAAAAATAACGAAAAAATTAATGGATCCCTCTATGATTAACAGTCTGTGGAATATTAAATACTGGAAAATAAATTCCGTATGATTAAAGAAGAGTTTGATAACCGAAGAGAGTTGATTTCACTGATAATTATTTGTTTTTGAAAGGAGAATCGTTTTTTAAACTTTGAGGACGCTTTGTGCTCGAGGGTGTTGTTTTTAGTTGATATAAGGGAAGATTTAAGGATCTTGGAGTCATTGGAAGCTTATAAAGTAGATGTAGATGTAGTACTTTAGGTGGAGCTTTAAGGTTTTATAAGAAATTCTCGCGTTGGGTTAGGGGATGTTGCTTCAGGAATAGTACGATAGATATAGATTTTAAAATTTCATAAGAAGGTTTATGATTTGTAGATGGATAAGGTTATTGTTTAAGCCAAAATCCTGACGAAAAATGATGTTCATGTTCAAAGCTCATTTTAAAGTTTCAGAAGATGAGAATCGTGGAATCCCTAGAGAATGTGATCAAACTCATCCCCGAGATCCAGTCAATCCTCATCGTCGACCGTGACGGCGTTCCAGTGGCGGGCGCGGGCGAAGAAGGCCGAAATCGACCACAACTCACCGCCGCCTACGCCACCGCGTTAGAACAGGCGAATCGACTGAATATCGGCGAACAAGAGTCGTGGGTATTCCAGTACGAGGCCAGTCAACTGGTCGTTCTACATTCCTCACCCTTTGCCATCTTCATCATGGCCACGCCAAATGCCAACACAGGACTATTGAGGCAGTTGAGAGAACGACTACAGCCATTGCTCAAGGAATGTCAGTTAACCATCGCTGAAGCACAAGGAACCGCCTGAATGTGGTTAATAATATGATTATGGTTATTTCGATATTTATAATTTTCAAAAAATTTTAAAACTTAGAAGTTTATAAATATTTAAAAATATATGGTTGTCCAATTATGAAAAATATGTGTGGATATGTGTTAAAGAATGGCATTTTGAGTGAAATGACAAAAAGTTTTTTTAAAGAAATAGACGTATTAGGTTGTTCAAATAGTTCTGTGCCCCTAACCTTTTATAAAACGAAAAAAATCTAAAAAATTTGCTTTGAGAGAAAGCACAGAATTATTTGAACAACCTAATGAAAGCTGGGAATGTTTGATAGTTTAAAATGGCACACGCAAGCTGCACAGTGCAATAAAGCTACAAAAATGGCTAAACTAACAAAATGTAGAATTAAATAAGAAAAAATGGCAAGGCCTTTCTTTATTAAACGACAAATGGCAAAAACTTTCTTTACAAAACGAGAAATGGCAAGAACTTTATTTACAGGACGAAAAATGGCAAGAAATTTCTTTACAGAACAGAAAATGGCAAGAACTTTGTTTACAGTGTAAGAAATGGCAAGAGCTCTGTTTACAATACGTGGACAGGTTTTTCTAGAACAACTTGACTCAAAAATTTGCATATTCGAAACGTTGTTTCGAAAAATCGTATAAAAATGGAAAAATTTTATTATTCGGATATTTTTTACATGGAAAATGGACATACGTGGCTTGAATATGAAACACCTGGTCCTCGCTTTAATCACAATAAACCTAGCCATAGCCGAACCAATATGGAACAGTTCTGACCAGTTTTTGGATGTTCTTTTGAATACAAATTCAAGCTCTTTCAAATGGAGGAATTTTGTCCAAAATCTGATGAATGAATGTAAGTTATTTTGAGTTTTTATGAATAATATTCTGGGTTTATATGGATCATATTTTAGCTTATAAGATAGTCTAAGTTTTTTCTAGCTATCAAGTTTAATTTCGGATTGATTTAAGGTTTAGTTTTTGTGTTATGACCAGTTTACGAACATCAACCGCACTTTTTCCGGGTAGTATAATATTGGTTTTGCACATAACTTTTTTCGAACTTGATGAAACTGTATAACTTTAATGTCAAAAGAAGGATTTCTTAATGTAGAAGCTAATATATTAACGTTTGATGCCAAATATTAAGTTTAAATCAACTTGTGTTAACTTACAGGGTCAGTAACACCAGTTTGTGCCGATCTATTGAAGTCGGCTGTGGAAATTGCTCAAAATCAAACTTGGGAGGCACTTGGATGTTCTGAAACTGGTTGCTTGAGTAAGTATATACAGCTCTAGATTTTTTTAAAACGTATTGGTTTTATATATTCGAAAAACTGTTAAAAACTATAAAAAGAATTATAATCTTGGGATTTGTGTTGAAAAAACTTGTTTTTTGTTGAAAAAATGTAAAATACGGCATTGAAGCTTGGAATGTTTAATTTTTAAAACGTTTGCAAACATTGTCGGATGCGAAAAGTTAAAAATTTGTTTATAATTAAATCAAAAACGACCAAAAAGTATGTTAGGTCTCACCGAGATTCGAACTCGGGTCGCAGGATTCAAAGTCCTGAGTGCTAACCGCTACACCATGAAACCGCGTTCGCTTTTCCTTTTGTTTGAGCTCTTCCAGTTTTGCAGCTGAATTGCTACGATTTGAGCACCTACAATGAGATAAAACGTTATTTTTTGAATTTCTTTTGAGATTGTAAACTACGTTTTTGTAAAAAATATACTTCTATAGGTCTTTTTCATATTTTAAAGTTATTTTTGTTCAAAAAATCTTCAATGGCAACATGAAAATGGCGTTTAGCGGAAGCAACCGCCTCATCATGGCCGATTTGGATGCTGGATTCGTGGGGTCGGCCACTGCCTGGCATTTACTCTCGAGGACCGTTCTTCTTTCTGGGGCACTTTGATCAATGTGCTAGTTTATCCACCGAAAACCGAACCGCCAGGTATTGTAAAACGGAATGGGACATTGAATTGGGACAACAAAGCATTCCTTTACATTATGGTAGGTTATGGCATTGTAAATGTGAATTTTGGTTGATTTGGAATTAGAAATCAAGAATTTCTGAAAATTTGAATTTTAGGATTTTGCATTTTGAAAGAATGCGAACATGTCTTCCACAATATCAACGTTACCGACCAGTTGAACATGAAAAACCCAAGGTTTATATGTAAAGATGCTAAACAAACCTTCAGGTGGACCAAGGATAAGGTAAGGGATTTTTTGCTCTCAAAGTGCTGAGAATGGTACTCAAATCGAGGTTTTGAACGAAAAATGGCAAGAACTTTCGTTACAATGCAAAAATTGCAAGAACTTTCTTTACAAAACAGAAAATGGCAAGAACTTTGTTTAGAAAACAAAAAATGGCAAAAACTTTGTTTACAAGACGAAAATTTTTTAAACGTCATTTTAGATAATATACGCTTCAATTGTGGGAGTAATGGCACTGTTAGTCATCATTGGAACGCTATACGAACGCTGGACCAACGGCATGCACATATCTTGTCTGGGAGACGCAGACAGAGCTGGAGCTAAAGGGTCTCATGAACCTGAATATGGTGAAATTAATGGTAAGGAATATTGTTTACAGAGGAGGAAAATTGGCTTTAAAAATTTATTGAAGAATCGAAATGACAAGAACTTTCTTTACAAATCAAAAAACGGCAACAAAATGTTTTTACAAAACGAAGAACGCTTTTCATCGTATAACTTGTCACCAGCAGCCTGCAGTTCTTAAAATTAGTTTGTTTCGATGCAAATGGCAAGAACTTTCTGTATAAGTGATAAAATGGCAAGAACTTTCTTTACAAAGCTAAAAATAATCTTACATTCCTTCCAGAAGACAGAAACAGTATGAATGTCACATTCTATGAATCAGAAGCAGGATCATCGAACGTACCATCAGTAGCGTTGACTTATAAACCAGTGAAGGCCGTCTTCAAGCAGAATGGATTTTCAGCTATTGTGAGTGTAAAATACGGTCGCCCTTTTTGTTTTAAAAATGGCAAGAACATTCCTTACAAAACATGATAGTAAGAACTTTCTTTACAAACTTTTCTTTTCAGCTACGATCCTTCAGCGTCTTCAGAAATGTGAACCGCCTTCTAAGAACACCACGTCTCGAAATCGACGCTCTTCACGGTGTTCGAGTACTGAGCGGATTCTGGGTGATTCTTGGCCACGCCCACTTGTTGCCGTTAGCTTTTGTCGATAACATTCGCCAATTGGTCGATAAACTTCAAAAAGAATTGGTATATTCGGCAATGATTGTGAACTCTGGATTGGCGGTGGATAGCTTCTTTTTGGTCTCTGCCACTATATTCTCGTTTGTCATTCATCGGAAGTTGAGGAGGTGAGGCTACCCCTACCCCTACCCCTACCCCTACCCCTACCCCTACCCCTACCCCTACCCCTACCCCTACCCCTACCCCTACCCCTACCCCTACCCCTACCCCTACCCCTACCCCCTACCCCTACCCCTACCCCTACCCCCTACCCCTACCCCTACCCCTACCCCCTACCCCTACCCCTACCCCTACCCCTACCCCTACCCCTACCCCCTACCCCCTACCCCTACCCCTACCCCCTACCCCTACCCCTACCCCTACCCCTACCCCTACCCCTACCCCTACCCCTACCCCTACCCCCTACCCCTACCCCTACCCCTACCCCTACCCCTACCCCTACCCCTACCCCTACCCCTACCCCTACCCCTACCCCCTACCCCTACCCCTACCCCTACCCCTACCCCTACCCCTACCCCTACCCCTACCCTTCCCCTGCCTCTACCCCTACTCCTACCCCTACCCTTACTCTTACCGCTTCTTTTACTTCTATCTTTACCTACCCCTACCCTTCCCCTGCCTCTACCCCTACTCCTACCCCTACCCTTACTCTTACCGCTTCTTTTACTTCTATCTTTACCTACCCCTACCCTAACCCCTACTGTTACCTTTATTCTTACCTTCATAATCTTTATCTACTCTCTCTTAATCTTTTATATGCTTACTGTAGCTTACTGTATTTTTTTCAGAATTACCGAAATTACAGTAGGAGGACATTGTAAACGAGCGATGGTAATGTACCTTCACAGATGGATTCGTTTAGTACCTTCGTATGCATTTGTGCTCGGCTTTGTACTAACTTTTTACAATTCAATGGGCAGTGGACCAGTTTGGAACGAAGAGAAGGGTAAATAATTGGAGAGATGGGTTAGAGAGGAGTGGATCGGAGAGATGGGTTAGAGAGGAGTCGGTAGGGCATGGGTTTTGGTTAAGTTTGAAGGGTTTGGGTAAGGCCTGAAAACTAGGCCCTTAGGTCTAGAGCCGGGCCGAAAAAAAATTGAAAACTTTGGACTGGGACATGTGGCCTGCTTAAGGCCGGACTTTAGCCCTTTGATAGGTCTATCGAACTTTTACAGCCTTTGGCATAAAAATTATTATGTTTTAGGAGTATTCGGAAGCCAATGCCGAGCTGACGACTGGGTTCATCACCTGTTCTTCTTAATCAACATCTACCCCAACAAGTGTATGCCTTGGATGTGGTATTTGAGTGTGGATTTCCAACTATTTTTGGTGGGTTTATCGATTTTTTAAACAAAGGAAGATTTTATTTTTTTGTAAAGAAAGTTTTTGCAATTTGTGTAGAAGTAAGCGTTTTTACGACTTTGCAGCCTGCGGGGGACAAGTTATACGATGAAAAACATTTTTTGGGTAGAAATGAAAGTCTTTGTAATTTTATTTTTTTGTAAAAAAAGTTTTTGCTATTTTTTGTAAAGTAAGTTCTTGCCGGTTTTGGTTCTGTAAAGAAAGTTCTTTTTATTTTGAGGTTTGTAAAGCAATTTTTTGCTATTTTTTTTAAACTTGATATTGTTTCAGATCTCACCCCTACTGATTGCATGTCTATATCACTCGAAAACAATTGGCGCTTGGCTCATCGGGCTCTTGGTGGCTTCAGTATCGGTTTATAGGGCTTTTGTCATCTGGTGGTTTGAGTAAGCAATACAGTTATTACTCTACCCTGCTCTATCATATTCTACCCTACCCTATTTTACCCTACTTTACCCTACCTTACTATAATCTATTCTACTCTACTTCTTTACCAAAATGATTGTGTTTCAGTTTCCCAGTGAATATTGCTGTTCAACTGGTTCAACAAGGCAGTAGTGATGCGGAAATGGAGGAGGCTGGTCGAATGTTCCGTTGGCTTTATGCTAACCCTTATGCTCGATCAGCACCATACTTTTTGGGTCAGTTTTTATTGGTTTTACTAATATGCGGGTGATTTTATCAGGCGGGGTAAAATTTTTTTGGTGATGTGGGTGGGGGGGGAACACCTATTTTTTGGAAGAATTTTTATTTATTTTAGGAGGAGCTATTGAAAAAAAAATTTTTTTTGGTTGGGCGGGGTAAAAAATTTTTTTTTATATATGGTAATATTTGTTTTTTTTGTAAAATAAGATACGTTTGTTTTTTTAAATTAAATTTTTTTAGCCATTCTTCTGGGCTGGAACATTCACTCAAAAGTCACAAAACCGGCTGCCTTATGGCTGCTACGCCTCCTCAGCGTAACTCTAATGTCATGGGCACTATTTGGAGTAGACTTGTTTGAATGCAGATTGTATGACGTCCTCTACAATGCTACATACAGAACGGCATGGGCTGTGGGGCTGGCAATTCTGATCTGGTTGAGTTATCACAATCAGTTCTATTGGATCAGCGACCTCTTGAATGCTCGACAGTGGGTACCGGTATCGAGGTGAGGGGTTGGTTTGGGGTTTTTTGAGGATTGGGGAGGATAAAAAATGATTTTTTGTCTTAGATTTTTGATTCTTTGGGTGGTTCTTGAGAGTTACAGTAGATCTTGAGAAAGTTTTTGGGTCCCACCACGAAAACAGGAATTGTTGGTTTTTGGATTTAGAAGGTTTAAGGAGGATAAAAAATTGTTTTTTGTATGACATATTTGTTCTTTGAGTGATCTATGTGAGTTACGGTGGATTTTGGGAAATTTTTGGGTCCCACCACGAAAACCGGAATTATTAAAGTTTTTGAATTTATATGTGATGCAAATGGGAAAAACTGGTAATCAAATGGATTTTTGTAATATTCTAGATTCAGAAACTAAAATTTAAAATTTTTATTTTCAGACTAGGCTACGGCATCTATCTTACACACGAGCTCTTGATCATCTACTTTGTCTTTTCTCGCCGCACCGCCTGGAACGTGACCTCATTGTGGGACGTGGTTCAACTCTCATTATCAGTATTCACATTATCAATCGTATTGGCATTTGTCTTGGCTATTCTGGTAGAGCTACCACCATTAACGACAGAAAGAAAGTTGTTGATGACAGCGAGAGATGGTGATGAAGACGGAGAGGACGAGTACAATATGGTGGAGATGAAGCCGATTCAGACTGAGGCGGAGAAGATTGAGTAGGTTGATTTGGATTTGGCACTAACATTGTTTACAAAACAAAAAATGGCAAGAACTTTCTTTACAAAACCAAAAATAGCAAGAATTTTCTTTACAAATTAAAAAATGGAAAAAACTTTCTTTACAAACTAAGAAATGGCAAGAACTTTCTCTTACCTTTAGACAATACTACGAACCCCCGAAGCAATCAAACCGCATCTCATCGACCGAACACTGGGTTCTGAATGGTACAATGAACGAAACAGCTGAATTCTTATCATTCGAAGAGGACAATGACATGGAAGACATTTCATATCGACGACAGTCTGGTCACAGCCCATCGTCAAGCTATGTATAACAATATTGTACAAGGAGGTGCTCAACTGATTCAAATGGCTTTTATTATATTATTCTTACTGGTTATGTTATAGTATTATATTATTATTGAATATCAACTGAAAATTTAATTAAATTTTTATGAAGTTATGGTTAAACTTTACTCCTAGCTAGGACTGGGTGGGGACTTTTGGTCTAGGGGTGGGGGTTCAAAAAAAATTTCCAAAAATCCACAGGGGGGACCACGTTCAATTTTTTTTGAAATTTTTTGGGGGGTAACCCCTTCCCCCCCCCCTTTTTTTCGATCTCCGTCCCTAGACCAAAATTACCCCCCCCCCGGCACTGCCTATAATAGTGTTCGAGATATGAGTTTGGCGGGAAAAATATATTCAAAAAACCGGACCGCACGCAAACTCGGTGTGAGCTGGCGTTAATACTATAACACAAAAACTTTTATACAAACCAAAAATATTATAATGCCATATGTATTGATTGTGACGAAGCGTCAAAGCTGGAGGAAGTTGAGCGTTGTTTTATCTAGACCTAATTTGTGTTTTAGTGTTAGTTTGACTTATAAGAAATGGGCCTCGTATTAAATTTTGTGTGTATAAACTGTGGATTACTCTTAAAGAGTATTGTTTCAAATATGAACTTGGTATACTGTAGAATCTACCCTGACGTAAGTAATTTCAAAAAGAATACTTTTAATAAAATTTTTATTTGCTAACTTTATTCAAGCTAATATTTAAAAAATTTTTAGTTTTGGCAACGTATGTTACAGTACACCGACCAAATGGAAGACATTTGCAGTTTTGCACAAATCAGCAGATACTTTTACAGGGTAACCAACATCGACTTTCAGAAGTTGTGCTACAGAAATATGATTTGTCGATTCGAAGACGAGACTTGGGCTACAGCGTTTTCACAGTAAGTACAAAAGTTGAAACATTTCGGAAGTTTTATGGAATTTTAATTGTTTTTTTTTCAAAATTAAACTATTAACAAAGTTTGGGGATTAACAACATCTAAAATATCATATTTCAAAATTTAAAAATTGTTTTAGAGCTTGGTATCGCACAACAAGGTACGGAACATACAGCTACAACTGTTCTAAAAATTCAAGTTTTGGTCCGCATACTGGTTTTATGGCACTTATTTTACAACAAAAACGGGTTTTATTGACCCACATAGGCTTTGAAAACAAAGTTTTTGAACTTTTAGACTTTAGCGAGTATGCGGGACGGCTAGTAAATGTTCAGTTAATAAACAAGTCAACTCAACTTCTACTGGACATGCAGATAACGTACATTGTGTATGACTTGAGAAACAAATGCGTAGTAAATGTTTACTATGCACTACCAAAACAACGCTACTCTACTTTTACATTGTACTACAGTAATGGTACGCTCGTGGATTTGTTAAATCAAAAAGAATACAAAGTTGAAACTATAAAACTACAGTTTCTTCAAATACACAGTGCTGATGTTTTCGGCTACAGAAGGTACGTGGGATTCGTGAATCCGCGGCGAGAGTTTGTGGTAATAGACAACGAAACTGGAAAGATGAATATTATATTCCAAACTCAGAGTTCATTCTATGACATTTGGCTCTTCGACGACATAGGTCATGTTAGAATACCACGTAAGCTTCAATTTTTTACAATTGATAATTAAAAGAAGCTTTAATATTTAGACCTTAAGACTTTAAACTTGAAGTCTCAGACTGGAACATAACTATGCAGTTTACGGATGTCTTTTATCTTGCAAGTAACTTTGGGTATTTATATTAGGTTATGGTTAGAAATTATTGAGGTGTAAACGTTCGGCTTGACTTTTCAGAATATACTTCTACTCAAATTTACGATATAAACACAAAGGAACGCATTTTCGAGGGTCTTGGAAGCTATTTCCAGCAAGTGGGAAGCAAAAAATTTTGCAAAATAATTTGAACGTGGTCCCCCCTGTGCATTTCCACTCCAGACCAAAAGCCCCCACCCGTCTCTGGTTACAGGTGTTTGTCAATTTAAATAACTTTCAGTTTGTTAGATTCAACCGAAAAACAAAAAAATATGACGTTTTGGATTCAGGTGCCGATAAATTTCATAGCCCGAGTTCACATTGTGTAAAAGATCTATATTATCTACCCATGGTAACCCTCTATGATAAACGTTGTATGAAGCGAGGTTTCATTATGACGCATTTAGATTGCTCTCAAAGTAATATAAATCTTTATATTGAAGAGCAAAATGTTTTAAACAGTAAGGTGTCAAAACAATATGTAATAAAACTTTAAACTGTCCTTTAAAGGCAACAAAAAAGATTTTCTATTTCAAGCAGATTGGTTGCAAAATATTTTAAGTCAAATACAAATAGAGTAGACAAAGACAAAATGACAAACTTTTACATCAGTTTCTGCAGGATCAACGTAAGTAAAAAAAGCGCTACGGAATCTGTGGAATTCTTTGTACGTAGACGATTTGAAGGTATTATAAAATCATATGTTCCACTCTTCAAAAACACCTGAACACAACACGCTTTGACAAACAAGGTGATCTCAAGCCATGGTTGACTAACTTTTCAATTCTTAATCTCTAGGTCTCTACAGAAGTTGAATCAATGATGGTCAGGACCGGGCGCGAGGGTTTGGGGTACCCCCCCCCCAGAAATAAACTTTTTGAAAAAAAATTGAACGTGGTCCCCCCCCCCTGTGGATTCTTGCAAAAAATTTTTCGCAAAAATTGGCACAGCTGACCCCGGCCCCCAAACCAAAAGTCACCGCCCGGTCAGCCGTGATAATAGTAATATATTTGTTAATTAGTTGTTGTTGTCTTTTTTAAATATTAAATTTTGGTAAAGACAAAAGTCGGCTTAAAACTTTTGCAGACACCTAATACAATGAACCATACCCAAATTCATTATTATTTATTTTAATAACCTTAAGCTACTATACAATATATAATATACAGCAAAGATATTCGTTTTGGTGCACACAGTTACAAACGTTGTGTTATACACAAGGTTGTTTTAAGTGTTGTAGTCGAAGACTGGATCCTCATCCATTGGGACGAATCGCTTCGGCCATTGATTGGCCGCCGGCCACACGGCACGGTGCAGTTTCGTGAACATTAACGCATTTCGGCGGAACCGACTGGCTGAAATTTATCAGTTTATGATAAGTTACAACCTTTTTATAGCGCTCCACTGTTATAGAAAGAAAAGCGGGGAAAGAAGGATGAGGGGGAAGAACATGGAACAGAATGCCAATGAACCCAAACCTTCTACACACGTTTTAATCGAACTTTATCTAAAATTAGACGTTTGTTTTACGAAATTACAGCAACAATTTACATAAATAAAAGTTTTGCAAGATATTTTAACCAAAAATAGTGAAATTGAAAATTTTCGTGTTTTTCCGGTGGGACCCAAAATTAAAAAAACTTTCAGAAAGCTCAAAAATGTCATTTCTGATGTCAAAATACAGCACCTCTAAATACACAAGTAAATTTTTTTCAACAAAAGCCAAAAAGAAGAATTTCATGTTTTCGTGATGGGACCCAAAAATTTTGAAACGATTCACTGCATAGTAATCTTTTTGTAAAATACGATATATACCTTCTTTCGTAAATAATAACAGGTTTATTATTATATTAACCTTCTGGTAACATAAAAACTTAACTTTTTGAAGTCCCACCACGAAAACTTGAAAAAACAAAAAAAATAGTTTTTAATAAAATTTTAAATTATTTATGTTATATTATATGTTCTTTTCAGCTCAGAGGTTGTAATACTATAATTATAAGGTTGTAATGCAATAATTAAAAAGTAATTATGATGTTCAAGGCATAATTATATTATAGTAGAGCATAAAATATTATAGTAGACTTGTGTTTGAATACAAAAACAGTTGATAGGACTAGTAAATGTACTTTAAGTTATCTAAAAATCTGTTTGAAATTTATAATTATAGCTTTTTAGTCTAGTAATTGTTTAGTTAAAAGACGTTTTTCAGCTATATCATATAATAAATGGCTTTATGATATGACATAGCTAAAGAAAAGTTTTGTCGTCAATTTACTTTATTTTCCTTTTTTAAAAACGACAAGACTTTATACCATTCTTTAATTATTACTGTACTATTATATGTATAAATCGCATTTTACTGTATTACACGTCAGTGTACTATGTCATTTCCAAAAAAAAATAAAGACGAATATATTTGTCATCTAAAAACTGTCATTTGCAGCTTCTTTGATGGTATAGACTAGACGAATAGACGAATGTTGGACCCAAAAACAATAATGGTTATGTTGTGTGCCATAACAAATAGAATTAAATTCGAAATCTTATTTTTATGTTGCCATAATCGTAAGCAAAAGAAATTGAAAAATATGTTAAAAATAGTTTTTTAGGCATTTTTAGATTCTTTTAGGCTTGTTTTTAAGCATTTTAAGCTTAAAATAATGCAAAAATATTGAAAAACTAAAGAAAAACCAAAATTTCAAAAATTTTTTTAACTTTAAAACTTTTTTTTGTCAATTTAGCATGCCTGATGTACTTTTTCCGTATTTTACCCCCAGCAATTAAGAAAGTCCAAAAAGAAAAGGCGAACCACCCGTGGTTTCATGGTGTAGCGGTTAGCACTCAGGACTTTGAATCCTGCGACCCGAGTTCGAATCTCGGTGAGACCTAACAAGCTTTTTGGACGTTTTTGAAAAAAGTTTTTGCAAATTTTAAAAATTTATAATTTAAAAACGTTAAAAAATGTTTTTAAACATCAATGGCTTTGTTCTATTGTCGTACTTTACATTTTAAAATATAAAAATAGAGTTTTTTAATTAAAATTTCTAATTTTTCAATTTTTTTTCGGCGATTTGTGGCTTTTAATGCCATTTTAAACATGATACTGTCTAATAATACAATTTCATTTATACTGTAACTTATGACCAAGAACTGCAGTTTCTTATCGAGCCCATGATTTACTATCTTGACCTACATTAAGCTATGGTTTTTTAATTTTTCACCAAAATTTTTGCACAAATGGCCTAGATTTTGCAAAAAGCGTCGCACTTTTTGTTATTCTGACCTAATTTTTTGTAGAAAAATTAAATAATCATATTCGGAAAAGAAGGCTGTAACACTTTAGCACATTCTAAGGACTTTTTTGACTCGGCATACTTAATTAATTTGGCGTCTAAAACTTGTTTTTCTTCAGCGGCCTAATGAATAACACTTGAGATGGAGGGTTTTGGGTACTGTAACATGAGCTAAAAAATATTTTTTAAGAATTGAGGTTTTGGAGAGAAAGTTATTGCCATTTTCGGCTTGGGAAAGAAAGTCATTGCCATTTTTGGCTTTGGAAAGAAAATTATTGCTATTTTTTGATTTGTAAAGAAAGTTATTGCCATTTCATGTTTTGTACAGAAAGTTCTTGCAATTTCTTGTTTTGTAAACAAAGTTCTTGCCATGTTTTCTTCTGTAAAGAAAGTTCTTGCCATTTATTGTTTTGCAAAGAAAGTTCTTGCCATTCCTTGTTTTGTACACAAAGTTCTTGCCATTTTTTCTTCTGTAAAGAAAGCTTTAGTATGTTTTTGCCATACCTACCCCAAATTCGCATATTACCATGCCATTTTTCATACCTATATTATATTAGTACAAAACATGCGTCTACCAAAGTCCCACGAGACCCCAATATATTGTGAGCCATGCATGCCTAATCGTACGATGAGCTAATTAGCCATTTAATTCACTATACGATGGCTATACATTTTCCGAATCTCCGTATACTTTTCGTCATTAATCATTGAAAGTTAAGTTCCGCTTCAAAAAAAAACAAAAAATTCGTAATTTTTTCTAATTAAGCTTATCAAAATTTTTGTGGGTACAAATGTATTTTGAGATGGCTATGGGTCAGTTTACAAAGTTAAAAAGATATAAATTTTCAAAAATTAGTATTTAAAGGGATTTTGGCATTATAATAGAAATTTAAGCATAAAATACAAAGAGCAAATGTAAATAGTCAAAAGTTTGAAAAATTTTGGGTCCCACCACGAAAACATGAAGTCCTTTAAATTTTGATTTTTGTCGAAAATTATATGTGCGGCTACTGAAAACTGTCGTACTTGGATATTAAAATAAATTTTTCGACTTTTTGTGACATTTTTTAAAATTTTAGGTCCCACCACGAAAACATGAAATTCTTTATTTTTTGATTTTTCTCAAAAATCTTTTGTTTTTGTATTAATATCTGTTGTATTTTGACATTGAAAATAATTTTTTTACAGATTTTTAATTTATGGGTCCCACCACGAAAACCTGAAAAATTCCGATTTTGCTATTTTTGGCTAAAATATGTTGGAAAAGTTTTGATTATGTTAATTTAAGTTAAAATTTCGTAAAAGAAACGTCTTTTTTTAGGTACAATTTGATTAAAAATTGTCTAAAAGGTTTGAGTTCATTGGCATTCTGTTCCATGTCCTCCCCCCCTCATCCTTCTTCAACCCCCCTGTTCTATATATAGTGGAACTCCTGGCTAACTAAGTTCTCTATAACAAACTCCTCTATAACCCCATCCCCTCTCTTCCATTAACCCCATCTCCCCGCTTCCCACGGACATTTTAATTCCGTGAAAACTCCGAAACTGTCTACTATAAAAAGTTGTGTGAAATTAATTTACATAGCCCAAAGAGCAACAACAAACATGTCATTCAACCTTTGAACTTCCGTCTTTCCGAACTAATGACACGCACATGGCTATTATAGACATATCAGCAGTAGGTGCGTGTGGTTATGTAGTATGTACTATTGTTTACAAAGTAAAAAAGTACAATGTACTGACGAAATGCTGTTCTTTTTAATTTTAAAACTATTTTTTATTTGAAAAATATGTTTTCAGCTAATTATTTGGCAAGCAACGTGGCCATGGCCATGTTCATCTCAAAAAAAAGTTGTTGCAGAATGCCAAAAATAAGCGAAATTTTTTATTTTTTGTCAATTTCCTTGAAAAAAATTAAAAAACTACTTTCTGTAAATGTAAAATACTGGTCCGT